AAACTGCTATATCTGCCAGTGTGAAGAAACATTATACTTTACAGATTTACTCAAAAGTAATAGGAGTCTATTCCTGAATACAGTGAAGGCAACGGGAAGACTCTTATTGCTTTCAAAGCATTTTGGATTAGACCCCTGATCAGCTGGCAGTGTGTTACCATAAAGAGAAATTAGGATATGCTGCAACAACCTGTTAACTTCAAGGGCATTGACTGCATCCTTAATGAAAACTAGAGCAACTGTTCCAGTGCTGCCCAGCTGTGCATGTGTCTGTTTTTATCTTTGCTACAGAGAAGTACATTTTTTTGTCCTATGCTATGAGCCCTTTTGTTACGTTTATACGCATGTTCCACGAAAGGCTACAGTGATCTTGAATATCAGACAGGAAATGGATGAATATTCTGCGAGAACTGAACATTTGAATTCCAGATGTAAAACAATGTAAATAAGCAACCTGTATAAAGCATGGGGCTGGGTTGAATAAAATTTAAATCTAATAGCGCGTTTCTGATTCTTTCTAGCGAAGATGGGAATTGAAGTTAAGGTGGCTCTTCGGAGGGATGTTCAAATGTGGCATTCTGCAAAGAAAATGCCTGTACTCCTGCGAGTGAACAATTCTTAAATGCATAAAACCTACTTTCCATTGAAGCAGGGTTTTTGACCTCTGGTTATTTTGCTTTACAGCAGTAACTAGGGGCAGCGGGCTGAATCTAGGATCCTAAACATTTCAGAGAGAGCTGGAACCCTGCTCATCTTTATAATAAAGCCCCTTTTGATCGGGACGTCCGCTCGCTCCAAACCGTGCCTCGACGACTTTTGTTCAGACATGTTTGTGTCTGTAGTGATGTCTTTCCGCCTTATGTCAGACCTTATTTCTCGTGGCAGAACAGCTTTTGAAAAACAAGGCTGCAGTTTTGTCTGGGACCGTGTTAAACGATTTGAGGGAGAAAACACCCCAGGAGCGGAAGCTGCTTCTATATAGGGAAATAAGTCTACGGTCAAAGGAAATAAAACAATGGTATTTTATAGAGCCCCGTTTCCTGCGGGGCCGTGACGGGAAAAGCCCCTTTCCTTTGAGCAGTGTGAATATTATTGTCTTATGAAGCTGGGAAGACCGGCCTGGTGCAGCTATTTGCTTTGCAGGCAAGTCCAAGGAAGGTATTTGGGAAGCTGGAATTGCAAAGAGATTTCAGAATGTCTTGACCATTCATATTGCAATAGGACCTTGGTACCAGCGAGGCGGGTGTGCTGCAAGCTTACTACACACCGTTTGTACCTACGGGAAACAAGTCCTTCTTCCTCCAGAGCTGCTACCTCTTCTGGCTCCTCTTTCGGAGTGCGAGGTGCACGGCTGACAGTGAACCCTCGGGAGGGCCTTCACGACCTGCTCCAAGGGGACGGCCCCTGCCCATCTCGAGGTCGGCAGGGTCATCACATGCTGCGAGGAATGGGCTGGGATGCAGGCCACCATGGCCTCCTTCGCTGGTTTGGCATGGCTGAAACGGGCTGGTCCCAGGGTAATTGGTGCCTGAGACGACCCCACCACTTCCAACATTGAGGAAAATAAGTCTAGAATGACCTTTCACATGTACTTATCTGATATTTGAAATGAAGAATAAAACAATACATTTTTTTTATTGATTGTTTCACGCTTTTCATTAAAGGTCTTTCTCCCCGTGCTGAACCAAAGGTCTTAGACCAAGGTGGAGCCGTAGCCGGCCAGGCCCGTTATGGAGAATACCGTTTCTGTTACTTCATTCTGCATATCATTTTGGCGCCCCCCCCCCCCAAATTTGGGTGCTGTAGGCGACCTAATGGTTGGACTGGCCTGGGATGAAACACAGAATTACCATGACCATGAATGTGGGCCATTGCTGCCTCCTGAGTCTGGAGGGGCACCACATCACTGGCTGGGGCCGATTGCTGAGTCCAAAATCACCAGCGGTGAAATGGGAAAGCGCCACTAATTGTTTTTCCAGCTGATGTTTCCAGGGGTGCACGGCCAATCTCAGGTGCACGTGCACCCATGTGCACCCCTTGGAAACGTTTCCAGGGGTTGCACGGCCAATCTCAGGTACACGTGCACCCATGTCTACCACCTGGAAACGTTTCCAGGGGGGTGCACGGCCAATCTCAGGTGCACGTGCACCCATGTGCACCCCTTGGAAACGTTTCCAGGGGGTGCACGGCCAATCTCAGGTACACGTGCACCCATGTCTACCACCTGGAAACGTTTCCAGGGGGGTGCACGGCCAATCTCAGGTGCACGTGCACCCATGTGCACCCCTTGGAAACGTTTCCAGGGGGTGCACGGCCAATCTCAGGTACACGTGCACCCATGTCTACCACCTGGAAACGTTTCCAGGGGGGTGCACGGCCAATCTCAGGTGCACGTGCACCCATGTGCACCCCTTGGAAACGTTTCCAGGGGGTGCACGGCCAATCTCAGGTACACGTGCACCCATGTCTACCACCTGGAAACGTTTCCAGGGGGGTGCACGGCCAATCTCAGGTGCACGTGCACCCATGTGCACCCCTTGGAAACGTTTCCAGGGGGTGCACGGCCAATCTCAGGTACACGTGCACCCATGTCTACCACCTGGAAACGTTTCCAGGGGGGTGCACGGCCAATCTCAGGTGCACGTGCACCCATGTGCACCCCTTGGAAACGTTTCCAGGGGGTGCACGGCCAATCTCAGGTGCACGTGCACCCATGTCTACCACCTGGAAACGTTTCCAGGGGGGTGCACGGCCAATCTCAGGTGCACGTGCACCCATGTGCACCCCTTGGAAACGTTTCCAGGGGGTGCACGGCCAATCTCAGGTGCACGTGCACCCATGTGCACCCCTTGGAAACGTTTCCAGGGGGTGCATGGCCAATCTCAGGTGCACGTGCACCCATGTGCACCCCTTGGAAACGTTTCCAGGGGGTGCACGGCCAATCTCGGGTGCACATGCACCCACTACGTGTCACCGATGTCCACGCAGGCGCCAGCGCCCCAATGCGACTTTGTGCAGCGGAGCGTGCACCCACGTCTGCTTGCAGGACTCCCCACGGCGGGAGGATCATAGGCGCCAGGGGCTCTTCGGATGAATCTTTTATTAGACCGACTTAAACAGCTGGAAAAATTTGCAGAACTTGTGACCTCGGCCCCAGTCCCCCCTTGCTTGGGCTTGCACCAAGGGTTTGCCAGGAGGGTGGAGGATACAGGGGCTTTGCCACGCACGACTCAAACGCGTCGGACCCCGATGTGACTTAGGGCACGCACTGCTGAAATAAAGAAAGCAATTACAAATAACCAACCCCCCCGCAGGAGAGCTGGACCAAACCATCCCGGCCGCGGGGGGCGGGGGTTCCGGCCGCGCGGCTCCTCCCCTCGCCC